TTTACTTGGGCCAAAGGCGCACAGCATTTTGATTGGTCTATCTCCATCGGAGACGTCTCCGGATATTGTGTACGTTTGTCCGTTCAAGTGTCCAAGAAATTGCATTTGTCTCTTCCTACTTGTCTTTATTACTGACCGCCCCACGAGAGATTCTTTAATAACCATCTCATTCAATGTCTTTTCCTTCCAAGTAATTCTCCACAATCTCCCAAGAAACCACATTTCTGTTGATTCTGTTCTGTTTTCACGGTTTTTCGTAACAGTCCAGCAAACGCAACCGTATGGAAGGCAGAATGGTTGACCACATATTACGTCAATTTTAAATTAAAAAAGTAAGCTAATAGTCCACGACCTTTTAAAAAAAATATTTCTCTTTAACTTTCTGGTGGGAGTGGTTTGTTTCGTCTTGATCTCGAAGACAAACACTAGAAAGTAGTTCTTTTCCAACAGTGCACTGATATTGCGGCACATATTCTTTGAGCTGATAAGAACTGAACGTAAATGATATCGTCGAACAAACTATTTCAGGAGGGGTGAACTCATAATTTTCCCTAAGACTGTCGGACAAATATTTCGCAATGGTGGTTTGAGCAATATTGAAGTTACGGGTATATACGGTCGCTTTTAAGGACAAGAGGGCTAACCCAGACCTTCCAGGCCGTGGGTTTCCAGAAATCTTGACCTACGTCAAAAGTGAGCATTGTCCTACCTATAGGAGAAATTTGGTTTCCTTGGAGAGTATATTTGTTTGTTTATAGAGAAAACTGTCTTTGTCTTTTTTAAAAACTGAACAAGGGGCAAAAACTTTACCTTTGATTTTCTCAAAACAGCCTTTTTCAGGATAGCCCATATGTGCATAAAACCGACAAACATATATACATTGTAAACACCCACCCACTTACAACTTACATATATTCACACACACTCTCTCTTTCTCTCTTACCCCTCCCCCTCCCCCCCCCACACAAACACACACACACACACACACACACACACACACTCACACCATCTCCCTTTTCCTCAAAATACAGTCACAGTCTGCCAAGCTTGTTCGTCTACACACAACGCCCCTGCCTTGCCTTGTAGTGAACACAACAGTTTTTGTCCAAAGAACCCCATAAAAAGCAATGCAAGTGTCGCTTCAAAAACAATAAAGTTTAAAGGTGTTTTCAATAGGACAGAAGAAAACCTGACTCCGTCTAAGAATTTGATCTCATCAAAAGAGAGGAAGATTGTAGTATTAAAATCTGTACATGCATGTTGCTTTGTTAAGTTGTTCTGAGGTTTGTTTGGTTGTTTTAGTTTGCTTGTTTGGTGTTGTTGTTTGGGTTTTTTAGTTGTATTTTGTTTTTCTTTTTGTTATATTATATTAGTTTTATTTTAGTTTGCTTTTCGTTTTTATTTGTTATGTTTTATGTGTGTCGGGAGCGAGGGCTGGGGCGAGGGTAAAAAAAACTACGCAATGCGAATGAAATCTCCCCAAAAAAGAACAAATCAGGCATGAGCATACGCCATATAAAACCTACTAGAGTTCAGAAAGTGGCCCTCGGCTAGATTTACGACAGCCTGGCTCAACTGGCTGGCAGTTCAGATCCCTGATATGTCGTCAATCTGATCCGGTTTGCAAATAAACGCTTTTTTTTCCAAGCAGAACATCAACATGATTTCCCCCGGAGTGTTAATTTGCTGGTACTTACAGGTTACTACATATATATAACCAAAGGAACAATAAATTTGCCTATTCTGCGTTCAGTTGTCACCTTGGGTACTTGAACTTGAGCCTTGACCCCCCACGGGATGAATGGCTCTCAATATGGTTGTTCTCTTTCGCCCAGCGAAAAAACTTCATAATATTGCAAGAAGCGCAATTGTAGACTAATGATAGATAGCATTTATTGCCTAGCGCATATTCCCGCTCAACAGCAAGCTCTATCCGCTCTCATCATCACCCAGTGCCTTGCCGGCTGGCGTGGAAAATCATGGACCTCCACTTTCATCCGCCTTCCTTTGCAGCAATTGTGTCTGTTGTTCTTGCTGCTCCCAGCCATGTTGCCAACTTGTCCAGTATCTTTTTCCTCTGTCTGCCTCTATCTCTCTTTCCTTCAAACTTGCCTGTTGTTACAATATTCTCCAATGCTTCGTTCCGCATTGAGTGTCCAATGAAATTTGCCTGACGTTTTCGTGTATTCGTTATGAGCTGCCGTTTGCAATTTGTTTCAAACAAGACCTCTTCGTCATTTCTTTTTCTAGCTGTCCATGGGATACGCAGCACGCGTTTTATGGACCACAACTCTGTCTCCTCAATTGTTCTTCCCACCTGTCTATTGATTGTCCATGCCAATTGGCGACCGAGTGTCTTCGTCTTTCACAGTGAACTTTGGCTGGCATTGGGTATCGTAAATGAACCATCATCATCATCATCATCATCATCATCATCATCATCATCATCATCATCATCATCATCATCATCATCATCATCATCATCATCATCATCAAGTGCCG